CAATAAGCTTTCAAATAGATCCCATTCTTCAATCTAACATCGCCTTACTAAATAATATAACATACAGAAATGTCTTCCAAATGACTCTTAATCTTCTTCATTGAATAAAGAAACATAGGCTTACCATCAGAAACTTTCTGTGACCGAATGACCCATCTTGGATTTTTTAATTTTATAATTTCCAATGCTCCAATAAGCTTTCAAATAGTTCCCATTCTTCAATCTAACATCGCCTTACTAAATAATATAACACACAGAAATGTCTTCCAAATGACTCTTAATCTTCTTCATTGAATGCTTGACAAGGTTTGCCCGAACAAAAGGTTTTGGGTCATAAAATGAAAAATTATATGAATTTTTATTAGATTACTTTAAACAATCATAACATAAAAGGAACTTACACATTTCACACATTATAACTTTAAGATTTGAAGATTAGGCAATAGTCAAAGCAAGTTCTCAACCGTTTGTTATTGTTATAAGAAAATATATATTAACCAGTGGATGACAAAAATATTGTTCCTATAAGGTGTTATAGCAAATAACAAATAAATATAAAACTCCATTTTCTATTTAAATTATATAATATTTACTAGCATCACATAGCAGCATCAAATAAATTATCCATTGAACAGATCCAGGTTCGTTATATTTAATAATCTTGCGTTTTAAACAACTTATTGATATGTCAAAATGCTGAGAAAGAAAGGAAGCTTTGAATATGGAAAATGCTTTCTTATTGTCAATGCTTTCAATGCTCAAGATGACATAAAGTTTTAAACAACTTTCATTGTTAACTCTAAACATTAGTATATGTATAAGGTCATTGTCAAAGTGAAACATCATAAATTTTATGGACAGTAATGAATTGCTAATTTTTTCTACGTGATATCACTAACAATTTGAAAAGCTATATCAATATGAATAAAATAAAATTTTTAAAACTTCTTTAGTCGCGTTTTACACTTTTTTTTTTGTGGATTAGATTGAGCCGTCAGTTCTCCAATGCGTAACACTTGGGTAAAGTAAGTAGAGTAGACTAATTGAAGTATTTTTGCACATGGATTAAATTTCTCAAAAACAAAAATCAAACCTGCATATTGTTAGCGAGGGAAATGTTCAGCATGTCATCCTCATTATAATGAGCTATTATTGATAATTTATATTTCATATTATTAATCTCGCCTTGTTGATGCTTCCACTTCTTCGGCGTGGTCTAAAGCACACATCTTAGTTTTTTGTCTCTTTTATTCCTTGAGAATGCTCAGGTTCTGAGAGACCCAACTTTCAGATCAGAAGCAATGTATAACACTAACACATTATGGCGTCTAGAAAAAGTGATATGCCAGTTCTAGGTCTAATATACCCAAGTAAGTATTTTTATATTACAAGCCAATGAGGCAGTTACTTTGTACTTGAAATATATTTTATGCATTTCATTTAGAGCCTCATCACAAAACTTACATTTTTATGGGAATGAAAAAAAAAAAATAATAATGATTAGCCGTTAGTAACGCAGTGGAAGAAGCTGCACCAACATGCAATAGAAGAGAAGCTCTTATCGTCATTAAAAAAACAACTAAAAATGAACTCTGGTCGATTGCTGAGTGCTTAAGTTTGATTTTACTGTGCAATGATCAATTTCTTGGTAAATGATCTGGATGCTATACTTTTCAAATAATTTTGTATGTTTTTTTAAATAGAAAAAAAAAAAAAATGAATCAATCCGACAAAAAATATTTGCTTCAAGAATCAAAATAGTGTAAACTTCAATAACAACTTCAGTTTTAAGCCAACTGAAAAAGGATAGTTATGCATTCCCATTTCCTGTTTTTCTGACAGCTACGTTGCTTCGCACTGATAAAAATGATATACAGTATATATATTATCAAAATACGATGACTCCAGGAGCTACATCTTTTCTCACAGCATTAAGCCAAGTGGAGATGCTGCTACATACCAGAACAGTTTACAACTAAAGCCACGAGTTACACACTTTTTGTATCATTAAAACATTGATATTTTCTTTATTCTTATTTTTTTTATTGGAAATGAAGCAACTTTCTTATTTCTTCATGTCCTTCAATTGTACGGTTTAATCTATTTACCATACCATATTTTACTTATTATAATTAATACATTTATTCATAACACCCATTAATTTGTCAGTACTGCCTTACAGTAATTAATCATCAATTAATTTTCTGAAAATTCCATGATCAAGTTTCAAATCATCAGTAATATCCTGATGTCATATTTTCCAGTTTGTAGAAAAAATTCCTTTTTAATCGCTAATTTTTTCGGTGCCCATCTGTAAAAAGAATCTTTCTTGCAGAGACTACCTTAAAACAGCTTCAAAATCTTCATTTTAGAATGATTGGAGTCTATTCAACCTAATCTAATATTACTATTTAAAATTGTAAACAACATAAGGAGTTCAAATTCAGAAATTAAAGCAAGCCTCAATTCCCATTGTTTATTGTAAGTATTTAACAAATGAAACAATGTTATAAGTATATTAAAGAAGAATGTTAATGAGAACTACATTTAAAAATTTAAGTAAATAACAATAATTTCTAATGAAATATAAAAATAAATATGTATAATAGGTAGACTGTGTAATTTATTGTGAAATAAATAAATAATAATTTTTCTAGATGAATATGGTGCAGAGCAACAAAATCTCCAACAATCTAATGGAAATAAATGAGAATGTAAAAAAAGGGTGTTGTTTCTAATTTTCACTATAAAAAGATAACTGTAATTTTCCATTTGACAGAGAAATAAACCATAAAGCAACAGTTGTCTATGGATTAATGGAAAACATGAAAAAACCTGTTCTACATTTCAATCATAAAACTTCTAGTATTCTCATAACTTCATTACTTAAACCATAATTACATCATATCAACCTGACAGTCGTCAAAACTAACCAGGAATACATCTTTAGATAGCAATAAGCTTTCTCTTTAACATTCCGAAGGTCGCACTGGATCTGAGAGGTCCGAAAAGCGGTGCATTTGATACGTTTTAATATCGCTTGGGAGAGGACTCTCCCTCCACGTGTTCTCTTGGCCTTCGGAGCCTTAGCCTTACATTCCAGTAGTGGGGTGACCTGTGTTGCGCCCAATTATTGAGGATTGATGGCGTACATGAAAATTTTTCATAGGGAACGGATGCGATTGCAACTGATAAAAATGAAATCAAAGCCTTTATTGAGCTGTCATGTATTGCAAAAATGCATAAAGCCGGGAGAAAAAAATCTGGAGGATTTGTGGGACTCAAATGGCTTTGGAATCGAGATATTTCGTCTCAGTATGAGTGCACGAAGATTTCGATTTTTACTAAAATCCTTAAGATTTGACGACCGAGAAACACGTCAACAACATAAGGAAATAGACTGGCACCTGTCCGAGATATTAAGTTTGTCAGAAACTGCTAATTTTGTTATTTAGTTGGAGGCCTTTAGAGGCTGCTGTTTATATTGTGATGTTTGCATTAATTATTCTTTAATTCAATAAATCTCAAGCTCATTCATGCTAGAAAAGGTTGGTAACATATCCTTCATGTTACAGTTGGAGTATATATAAGAGTGTTAAACCCATACATACAAAAATAAATAAATGAAAGAGAAAAAAGAAAAATCAATAAATCAGCATGGTTATAATAGAGATGACATTAAAAAATAAAGCTTTCTTAATAACAAGATCAAAACTATTTAAAAAGAACGAATTTTTGGGACAGTTAATTTAAATACAAACAACATTGAAATAAAAAATATTTATTTGTAAAACAAGTACAAACAGCAAAAATAAAAATCCATAAATATTGAAGAATAATGAATGATAAGATAATTACATTAAGAAATAAAACTTACCTTTTCATTATCACTGATCTTCTATGGACAAATGTACAACCTAGCCAGTATATGTTAAAAAAAAAAAAAACATATTTCTTTCGTGAATATAAATTTACATTTATTAACTGACACAATTCAACTGAACAAAAATATTTTTAGCTTCTTCTTTTTTTCCTTCCATCAATATTTAAATCTAGTATGAACTGTCATTTAGATAATCTAGCCACTTTACTTAATTTTTAAAAATGATAAATCAGTTATAAACAAATGCTGATAGAACTACGAGTATGCGAAGCAGCTGCCTTCTCAATAACTATCTCTTGTGTCAGGTTGTCCACCACATGGATAGGCCGGTCTTATCTACAATATACTCGCCTTATTAAGGTATTGGGTAAATGAATGGATAGATCAGGCACAAAGTGTTATTAAATTATTATAATGGTGGGTAAATGGAATACGAATACTGGACAGTATAAAAATAAAAAAACCTTGATTGCTAAAACTTTTATGACTGAAAATATAATAGTAATAATTTCTAAAGGACTACTTGGGTAATTCTAAGTTTACAGACCATCAAAATTTCACATGACACAGGTTTCGTTTAGTAGCTTAACTATTCCTAATTCAGAATTTATTATTATGTATGCTAATCATTTAAAAGTTGTAATTCTTCAAGTATCATATCATATCAATCCCATTCGTTTTTTAATCAATTGAAAGCTAACAGTTGACATATCTTGGAAAAGAGAACTAATATTTAACAGATATATCTCGTATTTGTGGTCATTGCCTAAACAGTGACTTGAAAAAAATAGAATTTTGATAGAACAATGCTGAAGAAAATAAGTGAGCTTACATTTCTTGCAGATTTAAAAAATAATAGGCCCCTTTTACTGACAATGAAAGCTTTAATACCATAACCAAAATGACCTTTCTGGGACAGTAATATTTTTGATTCTGCCTAATGACTTTAACATCACCAGATCATTCTTGGTACAAACAAATAATTAAAATGTATATTTTAACGATTATGTTTTTAAAATTTGTTGTATTGCTCTAAATAATCTTAGAATTACCCAGATATGTTATTTTCTCTAAGGGTAAGGACTTCTACAAGTTTTTTTTATTAGTTGATTAAGGTCAGATAATGGATTTATTGCAGAAAGGGTTCTCAAAAAAGTGCAAATATTTATAATTATTTTATTATTGAATTTCATGTATATATTTATATATATAATTTTTATCAGTGAATTTTTATGATTGTTGTATTCAAAAGAGGGAAAAATTACATCATAAACATAAAATTATCTATTCAATGTCAAAAAATCCACATTGATTCAAGGTGTAATTCATATAATACATAAATACGCTCAAGAAAATACAGACTGGTTCAATACAATAAAATAATATACCTATCATTTAAAGAAAAAAAATATCAACAGTAATAATATGTTTTTTTTATAGAATAAACAAGAATATCCATTTGCAGATCATATTAAAAGCAATGTGCAGATATAAAAATTTTAAAGACAAATACACTTAACTAACCTAAGTTGATAAAATGTATTACATTACTGCCGCCAGTTCTTTCAGCCAAAATCAATTATTACAACAAATAAAAGAAACATCTAATTTATCATGCTGGTATTCAGTCGCTACAAGTGCTGAAAGAACTATGTGCGCATCTAGAATCTGCCGAATGGAGCTGGTTGCCGTGGTGCTATCTTCCTCAGCAGATCTCCCCCTTGAATCAGGCTGTCCAGGGCCTTCTGGATAGACGGGTCTTGGAGCAACGGACCTGCGGGGCATATACTCTTCAGCCAATCACAGGTATGAAAATACCAGTCAACGAACCTCATCAAGGTATTGCATAAAAACACGGATATATACATTTGACAAGAAGACATTTGACCGATTTATTAATACAACACAGATAAATTCATTAATAATATGAGGTTAACCATTAATGGGCTAATATTCTGTATTAAAAAATTAAAACAAAAGTCAAAGCAATGAAAATGAAATTTGAGGTATCACTACAAAAACATTTCAAAGAAATTAAAGTTCGTGAACGGATATTGGAAAAGCAATTTGTAAATTATTTCTTATGAACTAAAATGCTAGTATATTAATAAAAATTTACTTATCACAATTAGGAATTTAAGCAAATTGATTTCCAGACAGATTACTAAAGAATAGAATAATCGGAAGTATATTACAACACAAAAATTCAACTTTTCTGCACTCGGACTTGTTTATTAGGAATGAATTTTTAAGACAAGAGTACAGTCAATCTGATTATCACTTAATATTGGGTGGATCCATGAGTTTATTCGATGTGCGAATTGTTTTCAAATATCTTCAGTTCTCTTTGTTGCCTTATTTGACAATAATGATACTTATCAGAAAGATTAAAGTTGTGCTCTTGAAACTGTTGTTTGGTTTCACTGGCATAAGTTTGTGCTACAGCGTGGTGAAAATATCAAATGATGAAGTGCACTTTCAGCATATTTTGCTTTATTTCATAAAAGGCAAGTGAGCTTCGGAGGCGCACTGAAATATATGTAAGGTATACAGGAACAATACCTTAACAGAACGTACTGCTCCGAGTTTGATTTGGGTGATATCAAGGCTCTAATCAAACAAAACCGGTCACTACAGGTATGAGAAATTGAGGGGATACTGGAAATATTTTTCGGTTCTAGACCTCAGATGATTTACAAGAGCGGAATAATGAAATTGTTAGAAAGATAGCAAGCGGTCATTAATAAGAATGGCAAATACATTATTGAATAAAATATATTCTTTGTATGAAAAAACAAAACACTTGTTTTATTTCACCTTTCAAAAACCGAACGAACTTATGGATCCACCCAATATAACTAGTTATCAAATTTAAAGTTACAACAATTTCTTAAAAATGGTAAAACAGCTTTTTAGATTAAATCGGTTAAGACTCTCTGATTTGTAGCTCCCGAAAGGCAAGTTCTTTTTTGTGAAATAAATATTTTTTAAATTTGCCAGATAAATTTCATATCTCATTTGAAAACTAATATTCCATGGTTTTATGGAGTGCTGCACTGGACATTTTGGACCAAGAAAAAATACACATAAAAAATTGTTGAAAGGTTAATATAAATGGTTGACCGCTGAATTCCTTTAAGTTCCCACATAACATTTTTTTTTTTTTTTTTTTTTTTGTCAAATATCAACTTTAAAATACAAACAATAGGGGTGGGTGGGTGGTCATTGTTGCAGTAGGTCATTGTGTATACTACATTGAAGTTAATCACAGTCCATCTTATGTTAGTGATTAATTTATATGTTATTACTTTGAATTTTTATGTAATACTGAGGCAAAATAAGCAACTAAATTTGGCTAAACTGTAATAATTTTTTTAAATACAAAATATTATGTTATTGAGAAATCAAATTTTTTAAACGGGAAAAATGACGACGAATTTGCTTTTTTTTATAAATACTATCAAGCCAAATTTTACAGGAAGTAGTTTAAAACGTGTCCAGCAAATAAATAATATTAAAAAGGTAAATTTAAAAATCAATGTTGTTTCTTATTAGGTAAGTGCTTCTAAAACTATTAATGAACTTTAATTATCATTTATTCTAGTTAATTTTTTGAAGTATTATAATATTCTCCAATTGCACGATTCAATTAAATTTTTAAATAGATCAAAAACTCTTGTTGAAATTTTTTATTAAAAATATAATTATTCTTTTTATATTTCTATTTTATTAAAAATTCATTCCAATAGACTTTCAATCAAAATTCTAAAGATGATCAGAAAAAAAAAAACTACTAATGCTGCAAGACTATTTTTTGCAACAAAATCCTATGAAATTCCAATTAAAAACTGGTACTAGGCCGGATTTTATCAAAATGAATCAAATCATTTACCTAAGAAGCAAAACTCTATAGAATGGGCGAAATCTTTGGAATTATATATCCATCCCAACAAACATTGTAAAAAAACAAAAAATTAAAACCAATTTTTTACTTATGAATAATATGTATAGCACATGTAATATTAACATATATTGTATTGTGTATTTTATATAACAGAATGGTTTTATTATTTTTTCCATGAACTTTTATTCTTTAATCTAATAATGCCCAGGTATAACAAACTCGTTTCCTCCTCCCCAACAAAATTTTTATGATCAATATATGTAGGACTTTAAATAGGAAGTGTATGACACAATATAATTGGTTTTTAAGGATTATAACTTTAGGTATCATAAGAATATGGCAGAGGACTATGTTGAAGTTTAAATTAGGCCCACGAGGGTGGTAAAAATAAATATATTGTTAACTTTTAGACAGGTCGACTAAGGTGCTCAATACCAATTAACAACTCAGATACAGTAAGAGTCGAGTCTTTTGGCTCTCAGGAGCGTTGGATTTTGACAAACAAGGTGTCAAAACAAAGAGAATTTCTCGGAGAATTGACAAAGTCAAATTTTGATCTTCTAATTCTTACTACAACTTTAATATGATAGTCATCCAGAAAGTAAAGAAGGTTCATTTAAGAAGATGCACTACCTACTCTATGGTATTTTTCAACACAATCTACACATTTAATCTAACGAGGTACTAATTTTTTAATGCCATTTTACTCTATTCCTGAAGACTTGAGGCCAGGTTCTCACTTCCACTATGAGGTCTTCTTTGTTTGTGAACTCTTTTCCAAGCAAAAATTTTCTTTTTAGTTTCAGTTGTTCTGAATTTTTTCATCAACTTAATCTTTCGATTCATCTGTAATGAGTGACAGCCTCCCACTCCTGTCGTGCACACTAGTCCTCCTTGATCAAACATTATATACACCTTTTCCTCACTGAAAAATTGTCCATTATATTATCACCACACACTTGTGTTTATCTATCTGCCTATAAATTTTTAATTGGTTACGCATTAAAAAAACTAATTAAACTACGCCTTTCACTCACACTGAAGTGAGGTAAGGAGCGATTGAGCGCGATGAACAAGTTCTTTACTTCCTGGACAACCATTACATTGATTTTTTTTTTAAAATTAAGTGGTTTTAAAATTCTGACGAAGGTTAAGTCAGATCGAGACAAGTCACACTGGTTTTGAATGATTTGATGTGGTCATCAAAACCTGGTTCGGAATTATTACAGAACGTACCGGGCCCTGCATTTTAGAACACTAAACATTTTCGAAATAAACAACGATATTGATGGCAGAAGGAAGTCGAGATGCTTCAGTTCGGCATAGAAGCAATATGAAATCGGGAGACCCGAAGACGGAACAGTTGGAAAAGGATTTCCAAGTCAGAAACGATGCCAGTTCAAACTCGGCCTGACTATGGTTGCAATTTATTTTATGGCGACTCACAAAGTAAATTCCGACCTATGTACCCTCGCCAGAATAGGTTATGTTACCTGTAGGATAACATCCTTTTATTTTATTTTTTCCATATCCTACCTGGCCACTTCTGGCATACAGGATAGTTATCGGTAGGTTAAGATATCCTTCCTGCTCTTGTTATAGTACAAAAGGACTTTGAATCCCAATAGACAACAAAATTTTAATTCATCAGTCAGTTCTCCAGGTACCCCCTCATACACTGTATTTATAATTTATTATAATTCTTTAAGTTATAGTTCAGCCTAATTTAATTGGCAATATTTTGTAATTGATCATTTTTTTGTTTTTAATGAGTAGATGTATAACAACAATGTATTGTTAATAATTAATACACCATTAGTATACAAACCCTATACAAAACGAATTAATTTATCACATATACACATAAAAAACTGGAGCAAGACATTACCGATTAAATGAAGCCGAAACATAACTTAAAGGATTTTAACAATTTATTGATTTGAGGGTGATGGTTATGTGCTGTGTCTGCAAAGTTTATAGCAATCAGTTTGAAGTTGATGACTACACGAAATGTAAACAACAATGGATTTAGAAGTTATTGAAGGTATGAACGGGCACTGGAAGCCTGAATAAGATAAACTTTGAGAAATAAGATCACATTATTCAATTAAATGAAATCGATATCAAATTAAGTTTAATTAGTATAAACATAATAACGATACAAAATGAGCCAGATAGAAATATATATTTGTTGTCGTGGTGTAGTTTTAACATCGTGATGACCTGAATCAATTCAGCTTTCAAACCACGCGTTACTGAGAAATCACCGTCTCTCGTACGACGATGAGTAACAAGTACTCATGAAACAGGGCCAAATCAATATTATTAATATTTCTAACATGTTTTATTCAAGATTGCGAAATCATTTAAATAATTGGTTTCAGCAATCTCTCTTTCACTATAACCGATTATGAAATGACAGGCAAAGGATTCCGCACCTTTTGTTAATGAATAGAGAACTAAGTTCTGAAACGAGAGTTGGAACTGTTGAATTTCTCAGACCCGTCTAATGTCCTCTCAATTGCAAAAGATAAAAAATTGTTGCCACAACAGGAACAAATAACTTCATGCCAATAACAGCCTATTCACACACACACACACACACTGATAACAAGAAATTAATTAAAGGTTAAATGAAATTTTAATTGTACAAATAAAAATATATAAGGCGATTAAGGATGTTCACATTGATTATATTACACTACACGAATATAAGAGACAAAACTCAGAAATTGTTTTATCAAGCATCGGACACAGGTTTGATTTTATTTTGAGGGTTGATTGTACTTATATTATAGTATTTTGGTTAATTGTCACAAACAGAATGGGTTATTTGGTTTCACAACTCATCATTAAAGGATAAACATTACTGGTAAATATGTATAAGTAATTAAGACCAATTTTGTAAGTCAATATTTAAGATGAAAGCCGAAAAGCTGGAAAGAATCAGTTATCACTGCCTTATTTATAAGAAAAAAGTTGCTTTCACAGAATGCAACAATTACCAAGGAATCTGCCTACTAAGTTTTTTCCATTATTTTATATAAGCGAATAGTGGAGTTTGTAGAACCTCCATCGGGTAATTACCAGGATGGCTTCAGAAGGAAGCAGGTCAACTATAGACCAGATTTCCTCCTTGAGATAAATAATGAAAAAAAAAATTAGGAATTCATTAGGATTGATTATATGGATTCTTTTCATTGTTTTTTTAAGCTGCATATGATTCCATTATCAGAAAGGAGCTTTACATGGAAATGGAAGAGATGGGCATTTCACAGAAGTTAACCTGACTTACAACATGTACACTAAGAGAGAGTGTAAGTCGAGTGAAAATAAATGGAAAGCTGAGCCACCACTTTCCAGTGAAGACCGGAGTTTGATAGGGTGACCCGCTTTCAGTACTATTTAATATTGTCCTTCAGGTTATGGTGAAAAGGGCCAAGCTTTATCAGACAGGTAAAACCTTTAATAAAATGACGCAAGTGCTAGGTTATGCTGATGATGTGATGTAGCTTTTGTTGGGTTGCATATGTTCTAGTGCATGCCCAGTTTTAAGTGGCTTGGTTCTGTATTTTTTTCTGTTTTACCATTAACCATTATGCATTGGACCTCCACTCTTGGCTCCATATTAAATGAACAGATGGAGGAAATTCAAAACTGCATTATGGAGCTAACAAAGTATATTTTGCCTTAAGAAGTTTCTTCCGAAATAAACTACTAAGTCTGAGTAACAAAATGAGTCTATAAAACAATAGTACGACCTGTGTTAACCTATGCCTATGCTACCTGGACCTTACGCAAGGCCATGGCTGAAAAGATTGACACGTTTGAGAGAAAAGTGTTGGGGCGGATTATGAGGCCAATCAAAAACAGTTGGCATTGCTGGAGAGAAGAAACGAAGAGATATATGGCTTATACGATGATCTCCAAGCTTCCCATTTCATGCGAATTCAGCGCTTTAAATGGCTAACGGTAGAGCAGTCAGATAACTATATTATAGAACCCCGGATAGAGTCAGACATCGCAGAAAACCGAAGGGAAGGTGTAGAAAGACTGTGAGAAAGGTGTGGCTGAGAACTTGATGATGGTCGGAGTGTCCAGTAGACTCACTATTTACTGAAATGACTGGGAAAAAGCAGTTGAAAGGGCCAAGGGAAGCTTCAGGCACCTGTCGAGCCGATAAATAAATGTTAACATCTGAAAATGAGAGAAGGATAATCACAGCTGAGATAGAGCTCATTTCTCCATATCAAGATTAATTAAGAGGAGACTGATAAGCCTCACTGCCAAGTTTAGGCTTTAACAAAACCGTTATAAGACCTGTAGTCACATACGGTGGAGAAACATAGACCCTTAACAATAAAAAGTGTCAACCTGCTAGATAGGTTCGAAAGAGTAATATAGAGAAGTCTAAGATCTTTATAAGAAAAAAAAAGGTCATAAGTGATGAAAGAAAAATAGCAAACTGTTTAGAGTCTAAAAGGAAATTAACATCTCCTACTTCAAAATACAAAAATCAAAATGGCTTGGATACGTTATGAAGATGAGTGATGATAGAATTGCAAATATAATATACATCAATATCCCGGATAGTATGGGTCCACGTCGTATGCCTAAGGGTCGATGGTGTAAGGCAGGATCTTCGACAAATCAGGTTCTTTGTTACCCATGCAAGAGATAGACCGAAATGGTTGGCAGCCTGATGTGCCAATAGAAGAAGATAATTAACAATAATTAATATGCATTGGAACTATTTTTACTTGAACTTGTTAATATTTTTACCTTTTTAAATCCATTAACAAGAACTTTTTTTTAACCTTAATTATTGATAATATTCCAACGTTTCTGGGTACAACAAAGCAGGAGGTTTTGGCAATGGGGTTAGACGAGTTAACACTCACTTGATTTTAATTATTTCCGTATGGCTCATACCTCTTGCACTGGCAACATTTTCTCTTGAAAATGAGTTTTATTTAAGTGACTTATTAAAACATTTGAAAAGTTTTGACACCATGGAGAGGTCTTTGACATTATAAAAGCCACAAAAAGATAGCGAATCAACAACAGGATCCCTTATTCCATTAAGTAACAAGATTTTGTTCATCTTTACTATTGAATAAAATATAGAATATAAGGAAATAAGTCTGTTTATAACCATTGGAACATATTGGATTTCGATAGGATTTTCATTCAATATTTAAAACTTAAACTATTCTAGTGGAGTTACATTTTAACTTAAAACAGGCTCTTCATCGTGTAAATACCAGAATTATTGAATCAATTAAAAAAATCAATAAGTTTTACCTCAATTTTTTAAAATATATATTCTATTTTACAACATTAAATCAGCACAACACTCTAAATTAATAAAATAAACATGAAAAACTGGTACAAAAATTTGAGGACAGGCTGAAGATTAATATATATTATAAAGACAGAAAGATAATAGCTATTTATATTCTCAAACGGTTTACTCGCCCTACTCATATAACTGGTGTACATATATATATGTATATACACATATACATAGTCTACGAATATATTATCTGAAGTTTAAGACATTTTTCATAAATTGAACTATTTTAGGACAGAAAAAAGTTATATATTTCAGTACTCAATAATTTCATAAATGGACTCTTAACTTTTATGAAAAATATTTGATAAGGGGTTCGAACGAATAAATATTGCCTAATAATAGTCTGACAAAATTCATTTGGATAGTCAAAAGTTGAAATATATTAAGGAAACAAAATAGCATGTAAAAGCCAGAAGAAATCTAATAAAACTGTATTGTTACTGCAATGTAAAACGAGATTTTCATCTTAATTGCTTTGCAAAAAAAACTAAGTGAGGCAAGTATTGTGGCGGCCTTCAAGTTCTTACTTTCAATGAACACAAGAAGATAGCCCCTGAAGGTTAGAATTTATGACTATTCTACAATATGTGGTTCACGGAATTCTTTTTAAAAATAAAGAATATAAAAGCTATATTTGATGTTTGACAAAGTAGCAAGGATAAAAATATTCTTATTTAGATATTTGCAAAATCAGAAACTTCCTTTTTCAAAATGTATACAGAATAATAAAAAACAAAAACAAAGTTTAATTCTTCATATCTTTGTCAATATAAGTAAGGCATAAATGAGAATTCTACACTCCAATCTTCAAATAACTATCTCATTATTGGTTAAAGCCTAATTTTCGATAAGGAGGGAGGAGTAAGATTTGACCAAGAACTATCCACATAAAATTTTTGTTCAATTAAACTATGAACCAACTTTTTTGTTTATGTTTGTTCCTTATACTATTTATTTCTTTCCCAAACCAAGATACACAACAAGTAATTACACTAGTCAAAATTTTAAACTATGTTCCTAAGCAGTAACTTTATTAACATTTTAAGCATTAAAAGACAAAATAAGTATTTTAAAAGCTTATAAATGCTTAAAAAATATATAAGTTTGATTTTAACCTTTCTCTTGCCAGCAATAACAAAGAAAGCTAATAATATATTATTACTATTAATTTTTTTTAAGTAATGAGATAATGTGGATATTTAAATATTAATTATTTCTATTATATTTTGGTTATTGACTTTATAACCTCTATCCTTGAAATACTGCAATAGCCACATTGCATTTGGGACATAAAAAGTTTTCTGATTTTAACTTAACACGACTGCAATCTATGACAACTATTCAGGTGAATTCAACAGTGATAAAACAAGTCTAATATTAATATCGCAGGGATCAAATCCCTAGCTCATATTAATATCATACTATGTATTGAAATAAAAACATAAGGACTCACCATGAGGTGGGATGGCTGGTTGAGGTTGTAATTGTGGTTCAATATTGGCAGCCCCGGAACCGACATTGCTCTTGTTAAGAATACTTAAGATACGAGTTTGTAGTTCAGCCTGCTGAGCGTTTGCTGTTTGGTTATCTGCAGCTAAAAAGGGGAAACAAATAAAGTAAAACCATAAAATTTATAACAAATTAAAAACAAACAAACTACATTACCGAGATGTCTACTGAACTCATCCAACGAAATTTACAAAATATTTCTTAGTAACATTTTGAAATTACATACTTTATAAATCAGATTAAAGCATAACATTTTAGAGGCCATTGTGGCCAAGCACAGTTAATGTTTCCTACTTAAACATTCTCGAATCTAACTGCACCAATTAAAATTCGGCCTGGGTGTGTTGACATTTATTTCCTTACAAATCCATGGAATGAATCTAAACTTTCATATTCTGGTTAGAATAGGTTTGATACTTTGAGAATACCTCTGTTTGATAAATATGATTAGGTTTGTTCTATAGTTCAAAAACATCAACATTCTGTAGGACTCAAATTTTTTTTTTTTTCAATTAAAATAACTGAATATTTTGAGTCTTTTCCTCTTAAAAGATCTAAGAAATGATGATCTCAGTAAATATTTCATGATATGAAGGCAAAGGATTTAAGATGGGTGGGGTATGTAGCTTGAAGCAATCTATCATAATGCCGTTACACAATAATGAATGAAACAGTAGAACATAAAAACAAAGTGGAAAGCAAAAAACAAATTGGATCGATAGAATCAATAAAGATGCAGCAAATCTAAATGCCGTTAACTCCATATGACAAAACATATAAAGATAAATGAGCTCTTAGATAGAAAAAAAAAAATTATTTTTAATATTCAAAATGTTAACAAGTAACAAGTGTTTATTAAGTTTTAATCTTTTATTGAAATGAAAATATTTTTTTATTATCCTGGGACTGTTGACCCTTTAGGACAAATTATAGATACAGAGAAAATGCTTGTATGGCCATACATTAAATTAAAATATTGGAAAAAGAATAAAATAAAACAATAACACTAAAAACAAAATCATTTCTGGGGGAACTTTGAGATTCCGAAAACAAAACGTATTGCACAGTTCATTAGGTGTTTAAGTTTGGCCTCGAATTCTCCCGAGAGTCCACAGTACACCAGACAGCCAAAGTCGAAGTGGGGAAACAAAAGGGAGGAAACCAGGAGTTGACGGGATATATATGGAAGGAAATAGTGGAGACGGTTAAACTGTTTCAGGGTAGAGATAGTACGACAGGAAGTTTGGGAGATGTATGGTTTCCAGGAGAGGATTTGGTTTGATCCTCTCGAAAGATAACAGCAAGGTTTTTTGTACCTAGTTTTCCTAAAAGAGGAGTGGGAAACCCAATCTTTGTTAAGTTGGTACTCTTGTCTAATTAAGAGGAAAAATCTGGCAGCTGAACGTTATTATTTCAGTAGGAATCACCTCCTTGCAAAACCATTGGCCTAGAAACAGCAAGTACAGCACCTGAGACCATTTACCATGGGATTTAGCGCAGATAGAGAGAGAAAATTCTTTATGCTATTACAGAACTAGTTTATCATTTCTAATTTGGTGACTAAAATTAGCTAGGTAGGTACACATCTTCCCTTTAACATTATCTATCATATGAATTTAACACTATAAAAATTAACTTGGATATTCAACATACCTGAAGAAGATCCCTTGCTGTCTATGAATTAAATTCATATAAATTAATCATATAATCTTTAGAAAATATCTGAATAAAAAAATAAATAAATGAAAATACTGAACTGAATATGGTGTCTACCAAATCATTATATGAAACTTTTTGACCATTCGAGGTCACTGTTCATCAAAATAGTTGTAATAGGATATAACTGACGTTTATTAATAAAAAGTGTATTTAACTGATAAAATATTTAACATTTTAAATACTGCAATCAACAATACTGGAGCCTTTATTACCATATATATAATGATTTTTTAATGTTAAAATTTGTAAAACAATTCGGTCCATGGAGAAAGATTCACTCGAATGGCTTGGTTGTTAAAGTGTTAATAAATAATTTTAAGAATATTAAAAAAACAAAAAAACAATTACCAATAAATAAAATTATTGCTTTGTTTTTATATGTAGTTTACTGGTACATAAATCACTATAATGTAAACTTATTTTGACCATTACCAGCAGGTATCCCCTAAATTGAGAAAATTCCTTGACTTAATTTTTTTTTTTTTTCACAAAAGTTGTCCCTGTTTTTTTCAGGTCCAGTAGAAAACCTGACTGAAAGATTCTGGTGCACAAAATTTACACTGTGATTCTGATAGTTCTCTCAAGTAAATAGTTCTATTGATCTTGAGATGAATTAAAGAAAAAAAACAAAGAAACAGAAAGGCATCTAAAATTGTTTACATCACCAAAACCAATAGTCATTTTTGTAATTAAGATCAATCAAAATTTACTTCACACTAAATATTTTATGGATGATAAATATTCAGGACGCAGTGATTAAAAAGTTTTTATTAGTGCCAATATTTAAACACAAACATGTGGGTCATCATCAGGGTGTGGTTCGGGCACTGAAGGTATTCAAGTACTCAATTCCTATAATACAGTATTTGAATACCTTCAGTCGATCGAACCACGCCCTGATAATGACCCACATGGTTGAAACGTCGGCACTAATAAAAACTTTATAATCACTGCGTCCTGAATATTTATCACCCATGAATATGTAGAACAGTCGACTAACTTCCTTCACTAAATATTTTACTACACATTTGTAGTCTAATTATATTTCTTTAAATTTCACTTAATTTATTAATCCATGATAATTGTTTTATTTATTTTTTTACCTTTGTTAACATCAAAGACCAAATTTTTCATCAATAAATGAAAATAGAATCTGCAGTGAAAATAAATGTTCACTAAAGCCACTCCATTAGAGACGTTTTAATAAGTTAATTTTCTTAATAGTATATTTACAACTAAAGGCGTATAAAATACATAAAGAGGGTCAGAGATAAATCTCTTCAAATTTAAACAAAAAAACTGTGAAAAAGGGTTTAAAAACAAAAGAATGGAAGTCATAAGAAAATTAACTCCATCCAATATACCAGAAGAATCAATAGTAAAAACTATCTCCAGCTAAAAAAAAGCTGTTATGTGAACACTATTTGACTAACCCGGATGGTTTTGAGGTTCCAGCTTCAGCTTTTCTTGAATTAAAAATTGTACAAGAATATCATACTGAGTTGCAGTCAACTGTCGTCCATTTAAAACTTGGGTCAATAAGTGTCTCACCTAAAAAAAAAACTTATTTTGATGAACAATTATATTTTTAAAATAATCAGATACCACTATAATAAAATACTTTTATTCCTGACATTTAAAAGTAATTCAAGATATGAAATTGACGTTTAGGACAAAGAAATACATTAATTTGTTCCCTTCAGATATTTTTGAATTGTTATTTATAAAGGAATTTCATTTAATTAAAAAGGATGGCTTACCTGTTCAGGTAGACTGTTAGGTCCACCTTTCTCTCTACACTGGCGTGTGTAGGACTCGTAATTCCTAAGTAACAAAGTTACAGCATCTTCAAGAGCCATGTTCCTGTGCTCTATAATAAAGATAATATAATTAAATGATAACATCAAAATATAATTATTAAAATAACATTACATCTGAAGTAGGCAATAATTGCTCTATTCCTATACCTGAAAAAAAAAAAAAACCAACTACAGAAATTGGGAAAATCTATCCACCCTAACGCTTCCATATCTACTCAACACCTTGGTAGATTGTTAAGAAAATTGATATCTTCGTATTTTTAAATTTGGAGTAGCCATCAGGTGCTTTTAACTACACATTACAGCATCTAGCAAACAGATTCCGTTCCATGTAAACATCCGAAAGTCTCAAGTTTCATTCAGGATGTGGTACGTGCACGACCAACTATGCTTTGACCTTAGCCCTTACGGTGGATAGAATTTCACAATTTTTGTAGCAGTTTTTTTTCTCTCTCCAATCAAATACTATATAACATTATATTTAATAATATAATAGTGTAGGATATAAAAAATTAAACAAATAGAGAGCATTGAAAAAAACTAGATGGCACTGAACTGAGTTCATTCTTGAAGCAATGTCCACGATCATAATAAAGAAAGAGATAGCCTGTATTCAGTTAGTTCAAAATCAGTCTGTGGTTAGTTCATAGTCAGTCTCTTCTTCAAAGTTTAATCTTGAATCTGAACAGTTTCAGTGCCTCAACAGAGAAAATTAAGAACATTATGATTTATTTTAATAAACAACATTTTTCCATTGTTGCCTGGCTAACACGGTAATTAACGTAGGAACCTTACCTTGAGGCCTGCCGTGGAGAATGTGCAGGGTAAGGCTGCCATTTATCTGGTGCACATGGGTAATAACAACCGCATAAAGAGTGCCACGTGAAGCAATGTTAGCTAGGACCCGAGCAAGGGGCACAGCTTCGTGTGGAAACAGCACATCGACGCTGAACCCTAGTGATGACATCCTCCTCTCGATTACTTCCCCGTACTCTCTAAAATATATCATTAATGTATATTAATAAATATCTGTTAAAATAATGGTCAATAAAACAGGTAATAAATAAATTTTGATAAAAATTACTTACGTCAGCGATTTGTCTACTACGATGATCTCAATGTCATTTGTTCTTTCATTGTTTGAAACAGATACTGGTTCAATTGGGTGGGTCGGAGGCCTTTCGTTCGCATATGGCCCAGGTGGGCCGTCTCTCATTCTTGGTTCAAAGGCTTTTTCATTCAAGCCTCCGCCGCCTCCACCACCACCACCGCCACCGCCGCCTCCACCACCACCCCAACCGAATTTACCTAACCAAAATCATTACTAGTTAAGATATTTATATTCAGTTCACAATACAAAGGATAACTACATCAACATCAAGTTCTATTGATGAACACACATTTTCTTAAAATGAGCTTCGTTAATACTGTTCACAAGTTGTGCGAGTACTGATAAAACCATTTTATTTTAAGAAATATGAACAAATTATTTGTAAGTTAAAGAATAGAAACTGAATAATTCTTTTCAATTTTATATAACTTAAAGTCATGAATTTCAGCTAATACTTTGTTTTTCCAACACATTGCATTCTTATTTTAAAAATTGCTTAATTAAAAGTTCTGTCTAAAAAATTATTTTTATTCTTAGCTACTGAAACAAACAGCACATTAAAACAAAGGAATTTATTAAAGGTAATTCTTATTCTAATCTAAACAAAATTACTATTTATTTCTCATTAAACCTAACTTTTTTCTTAGAATTTAAATAAATAAAAGTTAAAATTTTGCCATAAGAACAAGAAAAATGTTAAATTTGATGTTAAAAGTAAATTTAAATTTAGTTAAATTTTGAGTAATGTCTTTTTTGTTTTACACTCTATAGATAAACATTTTATTTTCTAATAAAGTTTTTAAAAAAATTAATTCTTCTGTTGAAATCTTTATATATATCCTTTGTAACAATATTTATGAAAGGACTAGGGTAGGAGAATTAGACGAATGTTCATCAACTCTATAACTATAAAATTTAGAAAAGAAAAAATCAATTACCATTACCAGAACTTTCTCTAAAACCAGTAGGTGTGGCAAGAGAGAAATCTCTGGCACCAGATGGTCCATAAGATGGTTCCGAAGACCTAAAAGGAGGTTCGTTCCTTGATTGGTAGTCTCCACGATCTCTAAACTCAGGGCCTCCACGGTCGCCTCTGAAATCTCCTGAAGGTCTCCCACCAAATCCTGGTTCTCCATCATAACCTCCTCGTCCACCACCACCTCGCTCATTGTTGTACATGTTACCTCCTCTATCACCTCCTCCCCTATAACCACCACGTCCTCCCATACCCCCTCTTCCTCCTCCAGTACTATCTCTGCCTCCCCTGGAAACAAAGTATACAAAATAACATCGGATTTATTAAATTATAATTAATATAAATTTATTGACAGAACATATAAAAGTGTAATTGAAAGATTTTTTTTAATGGTCATATCTAAAATATAATTGACAAAATCACCATTTAAGAAACATGGGAAAATATATTTAATTATTGAGATCCTAAGGAATTTGCATTCAAAATTAAAGTTTGGCTAATACAGTATTCTGCAGGTAACTATAGGTAATTAACTTAAAGAAATGACAGCAGGTCATAAATACAGTAATAGTTAAACACTCACAGGTTTGATATTTATGAGATTATATTATGAGCAAATACAAAAATTCGAAGAAATTCATTGTCATGAATTAGGTATTTGAATGTTCTTGGAGGGGGTAAGGGGAGGAATTATGAGGAAAAAAAAACTGCAGGTACTATTTATATGTATGTTTTCATTAGTAAAATGTATGAAACAGACATTGTCTGTCAGTATAACAAACTAATTTAGAATAGAAGATAACTTTATTCTGGGACAAAGTCCCTTCAGAATAACAAATAGTACATAAAAAAAATAAAATAATTCTGGCCAAAAGGTTTGTTACATTAAATAAATTAGCTACATACACAAAAATGAAATCATGTACAAAACTCTTCCAATTATAGTATGATAAAAATAATTTCGACTTAGAAATAAATAAAAAATCTGTAATAACTGAGCACTTAGCCTCCAATTATTAAAAAATCAGATATTTAAGAATATTAGTGAGATTTACTAATGCAGAAACAACAGAATAGTACAAAGATAATTAGAGTGCCTTTATGGAGGATTTTATATACCTAATTCCTATATATGGCTGTATCTGATTACATGAAATGATGACTTATACATAATTTATATAATGCCTACTTCTAACTGTTCAACAATGACTTTTTTTTAGAGCTGTTAAAATATGATCCCTTATAATTTATCCCTTATAAATAATTTCTAAAATGAAAAATAGGCGCTACACAGATTACACATTACTTTTTACAATATATGAGCAAAAATTAACAAATTTACAGATATATACATTTATTTACAAGTTATGAATATACTGCATCTACAAATAACAACGAACATATGTTTAAACACATCTGTATTTTTGTCTTTGTTGAGTTTCATAAAGTGTAATTACTCTCCTCGCCTGTATGCGCAAGAAGATAGAATTAGCATTCACGTATTTAAGATTCATATGATTTTCCAGGAACCTAATCTTTGTAAATGTTAAGGGATTACTATAACATAAATAAATTTGAGAACCTTAAATACAGCCAACCATCTTAAGAAATGTTTCAATTTAATATTAAGCTTTGTCTTACATTACAGCATTTTTTATGTTTGAAATTATATCAATTTATCTAACATATTATTTGGCATAGTAGCATTTTTATTTTTCAAGAACATTTATATTCATATTTATAAAGCCAAAAATAATTATTTGATAAGTAAGTGGACAACATTTCTCTATCATTAATCATAATGATTTTCTCTTAAACATCAAATTTATTTTTGTTAAAATAGTAAAATCATCAAATGCTAACTATTTACCTCCCTCCCCCAATTGGGGATCTATCTCGGCCACTCGGAGGATCATCTTTAGGGCCACCTCCACCTCCTCCGCCACCACCACCACCACCACCTTGCTTTGGATGCCTTGCTACCTGAACATCTGAAAAAATGAATTAAAACAAGGGTATAATTAAACATTTAAAGTTTAAAATTAAATAAAAATCCACTTTTCAAAGGTGATAAAAAAATATAAGCAACTTTTGACAAATTCTTACATTTTACAACAACTGTATGTTTGAAATTATATATATATATACACACACACATGAATGAATGAATGAAAAAATAATTTTATTCTGGGACTACAGTCCTCACGAATAAAGACAGTACAAGAATAAAAACAGTATTACAAATTTATACGTCTTAGTCTAGCTTAGATTACAAAATACCAACTAATTAACTGTTGATTGTTATTGCAATTGCGCAATTACAGTTGATAAAATTAAACTGTAATTTTACATGTTTGCCGAAGTTTGTATGTGGAGTAGTTGGTGGAAAAGGAGTTGTTCGGAGAAATTTGTGGACAAGGATGGAGGTAGGAAGAGAGTTCCAAAAAGAGGTAGCACGAATGATGAAGGATTTGCTGAAGGAAGTAGTTTAATGGGAATGGATATATAAATCTATAGGTTGAGACCTGGTATTAAGAGAGTGGATAGAGGAACATAGAGTAAGGAGTTCCAGGATGTAGGGAAGGTTTTTGGTTCTGAGGACTTGGACCAAGGAGGAATTGTCATCAGAAAGTAGGATAAAGCCACTTTCACCCGAATGAAACATGAGAAAGCCAGGGAATCCCAAAGATGTATCATAACATAACAGTTCAAGAGTTTTTTCAGTCTCATTTCTAGCCTGGCAGATAGCCGTCCATACACCAAGCAGCCATAGCCGAAGTGGGGGAATGTAAGAAAGATTATAAGGAGCTGTCTCATTTTTAGAGGAAAACAATCACGAAATCTTAGGAGTTGTTTAAGGATAGTTATGGATTTTCGGGTAATCAGGGAGATATAGTTATTCCAGGAGAGATTCTGGTCGAAGGTTACTCCTAGGTTTTTGACTGCAGGGAAAAATGGATGGGACGGTTATTGAGATAAAGTAGAGGAAAGTAAGGAAGGGAGCTAATGAGATGTCTGGACCCGATGAGAATAGCCTTAGTTTATTCTGCATTCAGCTTTAACTTGTTTATTTCTGCCTATCTGTTGATGCAGTCAATATCCTCTTGTAGCTTTCGGGCAGCCTCAGGCATCTCAGAAGGTTAGAATGATTGGTAAATTTGGAAATCATCGGCATACAGGTGGTAACTGGAGTGTTGAATGGCGTCAGGAAGGTCACTCATATAAATAGAGAAAAGTGTCAGGGAAAGTGAGAAACACCTAGTGTTAGTTGAAGGGGTGGCGATGGAGGTTCGTTTGGAATTAAAACTGTCTGATATCGATTGGATAAAAAGAGGGACCATTTTAGGACGCTATTTGATATGGGCAGGCTTTGGAGTTAGGAAAGAAGGATCTCATGATTGACGGAATTTAACGCTTTGGAAAAGTAAAAAATAATTAGGATGGAGATTTTCTGTTTGTCTATGACGGATTTGAGGACTTTGGTAATTCTTAGCAGTGCAGATTGGATGGAATAAATGGGAACGGAAACCAGATTGTAATAGATTGAGGAGAAGGTTTTGCTCGAGAAAGCTGTTCAACTGAGGGTGGACTAATCTTTCTATAGGCTTGGATAAAATGGAGATAGGTATGAAGTCGTAAGCTGATGAAGGAGTAGAAACTTTGTTCAAGGGACGGACTATGGCTCTTTTCCAGGAATTTGGAAAAATGGAATATATATAGATATATATTAGAACATTATGTATAAAGAAGGCAGATCCGTAATTGGGAGTGAACATGATATGATTGTGTGAGTCCAGAGCAGCCATGAGAATTATTGCTCAGCTAATAATAAAGGTTGTTCTCATTATCAATCGAATGGGTTTAATCCTCCCTTAACCACTGTTCCTTGCAACAATACACCTCAATCTACACCTCCTAAACTATAAAAGTGGCCTCATATCAAAGACTGACATTTATCATTTTTAAAAAGTTGAGAAAAAGCCAATTTTGAAACATTGTTTCAATTTCAATGATTTTTTTAATGATTCAACTTGAATATTCTTAAATAAAGTCATCAGAAACAGAGTTGAACCTATGAAACAAAAATTGACTTTTTCTCCACTTTCTGGAAATAACAGAAGCCTTTGATATCAGACTCATATCTTTTCCTAATATACACAAAATATCGATACCAACATCAATGAGCAAAATTTTCGTAAACAAATTGATATAGGTACAATAAAACATAAGCATTATGAGATTAAATTAAAGAGATAAAATTTTGTAGCTGATAAGCACCTGGACAATTACTGAAGAATTCTTTTTGGTTTTTTACAGAGAAAAGTAGGTAGGGAAGCTTGGTATTCTAATGCCAAGGAACATATTTGGTTCTGTTTCTGTCTATAACCAATTCCGTGTAAAGGGCATTGATCCTTAATACCGATTATCGGATTTGGATAAAATTTCATTATTGGTTATACAACTTTATGAGATTTATTAGGTGAGGTTTTATTGGAATATTCTGTTCAGTTAAAAATAAAATTATAAGCGCATATTTAATGCATTATCGTTATGTATCCACCAAATAAAAAATGGTGAAGAAATATTTTTGAACAAAATGTTTTATTTGCCATAGTAAATACTATGGCTTGTTAATTAATTTTAACAACAGATAACGCTCCTAGTCCTTAGTTACCATATCAATAGTCCTAACAACTGTTATCTGATAACTATTGACTGTTATCAGTTGGACCTTTATTTTATCATATGCCTGTCAATCCGATCTCTATTCATAAAGACACTTTGGAATTGATTTGTGACCAGGAATAAGTCAACTTTGATCTTCATAAAGTAATAGCAATATAAAACATTTCAGACATAAAAAAGAAAAGTTATGATCTATTGATTACATTACCATAGTTTAAAATAGACAATAGGAAAACTGGAATAGGAGATTAAAAAAAAAAAAAAAAAAAAAATAGGGGGCAAAGAATAATCTGAATTAATTTCAATACAAAGATCAACTAAATATTTGTTTTTTCAGTAAATAATTGTTTTTAATTAGAAATTAATCTTTTATTTTGTTTACTAGTTATGTCAGGTAGAATTAATCCCTAGTGACCACACATAATATACGAGAAAAATATATCAGATGGAGATAGCGTGAAAGTTACTATAGTAACTAAAAAATTTAACAGTACTTCATTATTGTGTGTATTGTTTTGTCTACTTGGCTTGAACTATGAAACAGGAATGTCTTCAACTAATTTTGAAAGGATTAGCTTGACAAAATTTGAATAAATAAACACGATTATGCATTATACTGGAGAATTACAACATACAGGAGATAAATAACTTGGGTTCATTCAGGATTTCTTAAAAAGGGAACTATCAGTTATAATTGGAAATCATAAATTTTACTGAGCAAATAATTATTAAAGTGCAACTATAAGATTAGCTATATGATTGGTTAAAGCATAAAGGAGGAAAGGATGGTTAAGCTCATCCTTGATTGAGCTTCTTCATTCTTAACTACTTTTGAATACTTAACTATCATGATGATCAACAAAACAAAACATAATTCCACAATTGAGCTTTGTTCTAGAGAAGTTTCAACGACCATTATGGTTCAGTAATTAATACACAAATACAAATAAACTTAAGAAAAACTTGATAGTTTGAGGATGCCTAAATTACCACAATTTGGGATAGAAACACTAGTAATAAAAAATGAAACTATTTTGCTGAAAAGTAAAAAACAAATTTTGACTCGTAACCATGGCTTGTTAAAAAAGTGTAAGGAAAAATAAAAATATACTTGAAATTAAATATTGTCCTAACTTAACTTGAGGAACCCACACAAAACCGAGAAAATGAAAAGTCAAACTGACTGAAAATAGCTCTAGATCGTACATTAAAAACACATGCTAAACAGAATTTGTGTAATAATGCTAATGATAGAATAATGATTACCATTTAAAACACTATACATACCTAGCCTTCGTCCAAAATGCTGGGCTCTATGTAGATCCTTGATTGCATTTTGAGCTTCACTTTCTTCTGCAAACTGAACAAATGCAAAATTTTTGTTCATCCTTATTTCTAAAAGCAGATAAGTTGAACAAAAACCATTACTTATTCAGCTACCATGTGCTTAAATTAATAATTGTACTGGTTAGGATAACTATTATTTACCAAGAATGTTTCCATATTTTGAGAATAAATCTTCTACATCCTTTTGCTGAACAGACATATTCAACCCCCCAACAAACAATCGGCTACTTTGATTTCCTGGAGTAGCCATCTAATACAGATACAAAACTTATTTATAGTAGAAATGAGGGAAGTATTAAAAACAATAGAATAGTTATAGAAACACAGCAATTACCTTGGGGCGCAAGGATTGTAAAAAATTGGTTAAAAATTCACTAACACTAGTTTCGTCAAACAGAACACCAGACCAACGCTTGAGCTTGGGTCAGGCTGCCGGTTGAACAGAGTTAATGAAAGGTAGAGCAGTGTTGTCATTTTGGTACCGATACATCGAAAAACAAAGTTGTTGAATTTAATTATTCCTTTGTATTAAAGCACTACCATATTAATGCTTAATAAATGTTTATAAGATTTAAACTATTTTACATCAGTTAATATCAAGAAATTTGCAATTTTTATGGAATTGATGAATTCAATTATCTTCATAAACAATCAAATAAAGTAATTACAAATGATTAAATCATGTAAGATTAGCATTGCATAATTTTTTGCAGTGAGAATTTCTTTGTTAATTTAGAAAAAGTTATATATTTACAAGTGGGGAAAATTGCGTCGTGAAAGTTGCAAAAGTCAGCTGACTACGACAACTACACTGGTTCATTGCACTTGTAGTCTAGTCTTATTTACCTTTGTTCTTAGTCGTAAATTCTCAGCTGTCATTGGGATGCCTTTCATTTCCAAAGATTGGAGATCCCCTGGCGAGCACTGGGTTAAAACTGATGAAGGCTGGGAGAAAAAAAAAGTTCTTGAATGTTTGAGCAGTATTAATATAAATGGAGACAATAGGCAAGTTACAACTTTCAAGTTGCTTCCTGGTTCTGTACATGTCAATTGTTTTTACTCTGAAAACACCCCAAAGTCTTTGTTTAAAATCCATGAACTAAATTCTTGTATACCTTTTGTATCATGTTGCTGCTAATGACAATTATTATAGGTATGTTTATCCTGAAAATATTCCATTATAGTGTTGTAGAGGGTTTGAATTTTTTTTTCCATTCATTTAAGAGTAGGCATCTAGTATATAGTTTCCAACTATTTATTATCAACCCATTCCTGACAAAGTAGGAAAATCAAAATTTATTATATGGTTCTAGCAAAATAAATTTAACAGTATTTTTTTAAATGAATGCATCATTCAATACTACATTAGACTTGACAGAGTCAACTAGTTTTATTAAATTTAAATATAATAATGAAAATACTTATGTTAATGATCAGTGTTTTATTTGAATATTACATGTTATAGTGTAATTATGTTCTTGAATTTTGAAGTTATGAAGTGATTTGGTTTTTATTTTAACATTTATCAAAATTCTGTAATAGGATATTATTACTTTACTGTTATACATTCAAGTCTTCTGATAATTATTATTTTTTTATTTATCATTATATGACAATATTATGAATCTAATCTTTTTTTCTTATCTCTTGTTTATTTAATTAAATTTTTATTTTAAGACTATTTAGAGAAATTTCCTTTAGAAAATTTATACTGTTATATTGAAATTATTTTTGTTCAGTTGGTAATAATTGATGAACATATTTAGTGGTTTTAATGTTTTTTAGTTTCTATATAAAATTTTAATTATTAAAATATTTATGGATCATTATCTTATATTCAAAGGATTTTTGATAAATGTTTTTAAATTTTAATTATGGTATCAAAATTAATTTTGCATTGTTTCAATTAAATTCTAAACATAGAATGAAACATGTTTAATTATAACAATGGTTGTAATAAAATAAATTTATTATATTTTAACTAATGACCAGTTCTAATTTTTTTGTTGGCTACTAAGTTTTTTATTTGTAGTTTTTACCATTTTAATGTTTTTATCTAGTAAGTAAATCCTTAGATTCCTGAAATAAGTCCATGAAACTTCATTTTCTTGTCAATATTTTTTTTTTAGTTATTGTAAGAAGTTCTTTGATATTGAAATTATATGGAATGCTTTTATCAGTATATTGGAATTTCATAAAGTTTCAATAAAAACATTTTGAAAATTATGTTGTGTTCAATTTTTTTGTTGAAAGTCTTTACTAAATTATAGACACTCTCTTTCCCACCTTATCAGACATTGGTAGTTTTTATTATTGCTTAATATTTTTAATTTACAAAACTAGTAAAAAATTAAAATAAATTTATCTATAGCTCACTTACCTGTGAAATGAGTCAGGAATAGCTAATTGATTTGTCGCACTTATTAATATAGATGGCTAGTTGACAATCATAGTGTTAAATCGTGTATGATATTTTCCAACTGAATTCAAAGTTTTAGACTAGATCAATTTTTGTAATTTTTATTTCAGTAGCTAGTCAGATATGCTCTATTGGATCAGTGAAGATGCTTCTTAAATTAATATTTTAAATTTAGCAAGAATTTAATTCATGAAAATCAGCACTGCTTTTTTTCAAGTGCATTCATTTTAATATTAATTGATATTGATTTATATTTTTATTCTAACCATTAATTGTTTTGAATATAATATAATTGTTTGAAGTTGACAATTACTACAGGTAATTATTTAATTTTAATGAAATATATACTTAAATTCATATTGGGGTATTTAATTTAAATGTTTCCAATTTAAAATTTATATTGAATATTAAGATTTATTTTATTTTTTTAAATTTAATATAATTAACATATTTAAAAAAATATATATTATATCAATAATGCCTTTTTATTTTACAGATTTCATGATGTTTCTTGCAATGACTTCAATAAAAAATGGTAGGCTTTTTTTTTTTGACAATTACAAATATTTTTAACTTATTCTATTTCATACTTTATGTTTATTTGTACTGTTTTAAATTATTTTTTTTTATGTTATTATAATTTAAATTTATGAAGAAATCTTTGATTAAGAGGAATTAATTATTATTAAAATTTAAATTTTTGTATCGTTATTCTGTGTCGGATTATTGTTAAATACCATTTTTTAAAAATTCAAATATTTAAATAAATATTTCTTTCTTTTAATTAAAAGATTTTAAAGTTTCATTTGCTGGATGAATAAAACCATCAATTAATTAGTATGATTTAAGAGTTCAGGTTATAAACAATTGTAGCTCAGTGTAATATATTTTTATAAATTGAAAAATTGTTTAAAAATTGATAAGCGCTCTTTGATTTTGTTTAAAGGATTATGTACTGGATTTTAAATAATTACCAGAGTAAATCAGAGGTTATGGTTATAGTAAAGGAAATTGATCCCAATGTGCCTATTATTTATATAGTTTGACATATTTGGTTATATCACAATAATTTGTTTTATCAAATCACAGCTATTTGTTCTATTGAATATAGAATTGAAAAATTTGTGCTATTTTCCTTTCAAATATTTTTTTCATTGTGGTTTGCAAGTAATCCATAGGTATACCAGTTACATTCATGATGTATGGACATACATGGGTATAATTTTACAATTACAGTCGTTTAAATTACGTGACTACACAATTAAAATTGTAGTTAAGTTCCCAATATCAACTGTAATCAGGTAGTCATGTCACATTTTTGTTAAGTTATGTCAGTTTATTAAGTGGTCTTTAATATCATTGAGGTCTTATCCCCATTGATGTTACTTTACAGGGCTTAAAATCTTAAATATTCAACTTGTCTTCGTCTAAAGTACTTTTAATTTGGTTTATTTTAAATAATTAATTATCTCTCATTATTAAGAATTATGAAAAAAGGCTAAATATAAGTTTTGAAAGAATTTGATTTTTGAATAAAGGAGAAAAAAGTAAAATGCTTATCCAGGTCGAAAATGAATCTCCGGAAATTCTAGTCAGAAGGTATATGTGTAATATATCATTGGGAAGCACAGAGAATTTTAGAAAAAACAATATCTAATATAAAAAGTTGTAGAAAGTAATGGAGTGTGACGAAAAATTATAAATAATAATTTTTGAAAGCTTACATTATTTAAAGGAAATCACATGTTTTCAAGGAAATTAAATGAAATTTACTAACTGTATGTAAACTTTTAAAATATTTTTTAAGTTCGAAAAAAAGTATTTAAAATCCACCTAATGAAGGCAAGGACATTGTTTAAATAACTATTTCATTGTACTTGCATGAAAGAAGAAGTGAAATATAAAAACATTTCATGGATGTAGGATTATATGTTTATTATCTTAAATACTGTAGTTAATTATTTTAGATCTGATATTATATTTAAATAATTAGGTATCAACGTTCGTTTATTCCAAAAAATTGTCATGTAACTTTTTTTGAAAATTAAATTAGTGAATAATTTGATGAATTTTCCCTTTGTGAATTCCCAACATTATCATGTCTTCCTCTAAAGTACCTTTAATTTGGTTTATTATAAATAATTAACTATTTGTCATGAAAAAATGGTAAATATAACTTTTGAAAGAATTTGATAATTGAATAAAGGAGAAAAAAAGAAAAATGCTTATCCACGTCGAAAATATTTATATTAAAAATATTTCATGGATATGTTTATAACCTTAAATATATTTAGTGTAGTTTGATAACTCTAGATCTGATATTATATTTAAATAATTAGGTATCTATCACCCGTTTATTCCGAAAAATCACCATGTAACATTTTAGAAAATTAAATAAGTGAATAATTTGATGAATTTTCTCTTTGTGATATTCCAATAGTATCCACTCACAATTAGTGTGACAACTTTTGACCTGTCTTATGACAGACAATGCAAATCTGGTAATTCCATTTTAGTAAATTTTGCAATGGAAAATAACAGTTTAATAACTAATAGTTCATCCATAATCCGTAATCCATGGATCGTACAATCCATAATCAACCAGTGATATAATAAATAGGATTTTTGTTATTTTAATGGTATTTATGATTTGTTAGCTTTAAGCATTAAGCTCTGTTAAAAATGCGATTAAAAAATTTTATAACATGGCCAGAAAATAATTTCTATTCAAAGTTGAGCAGTAAGTAAAAGTTGTGTGTTGCGCGCATCAGATTTTTCAGAAACAGAGTTGTTGCTTGGGTTGTAAGTACCTAGGTTGAGATTTTTCCACCCATACTCCCCTATTCAATTACAAATATACCAATTTTTCACATGTTTAAATAGTGAAAGAGAGATTAATGATTAAGTGGAAATGAATTCCAACCTGGGTTGCTCTAATTTTAGTCGTTAAAAACATCAGTTTTACATAGGTTGGAATAAATGATTTTGATGATTATGACAGGCAATTAAATTTTTAAAAACTATCGAAATATAATTTATAAACAATGTATGTTAATTACATGGTGCTTATAATATCAAAATTTGAAGATCATGAAATGGTTTTCCTTCTTTTTTATGAATATTATTCAAGTATTTATCTAATATGTTAAAGTGGCAGTTTATATCTGGTCTTATTAAATATATTTTTATTTTTGAATTTTCACTTTGTAACTTTATTTCTTCTGGATAATCTAGTGAAAAAATAGTTTTGTATTGTATTGTTCATCAAATATGTAATTTAAGAACTGATTTATTTATTTTACATTTTTTCTTTTTAATTTGTTCATAGGTTGTCAAAAGAAGTAGAAGGTATTGAGAAAAGTCTTCTGAAAGGTATCATTACATTTTTTTATTAAATTTTATGATGGAAATTATAGGCTTGTGTTTTTTAATGTAACTAAAATAATTTTTTATTATCGAGTACTTTATTGTGATATCTTAGGAATTATTTAAGAATATATTAATTAATGTTTAATGTATTATTAAGTACCATAACTTCAGGGAGGGAGGTAGTTTAGGGAGTATGACACTGGGATTCCTCAAAGACTCAGGTTCGAGTCCAGTTATGTCAGATAATTGTTTATTCTGTTTCAACTCTGGATTTGGGATATATATCTGAACTGTTCTGTTGAAAACAGTACACGTTCTCTGAATTCCTTATTCTCTGACAGCTTTTTCCAAATGGAGATTAAAGAGGAGACATGCCAAAGTATCTCCTTGCTTCACTACTCTTACAGTCAAAAAACTCCTCCAAACGCTTTCTTTGGACTTGAACGAAGTATTCGATGCCCGTCATGCTCATCCTTACCAGCCGAACAAATTTAGCAGGAACATTAAGTTCTATGAGAGCCTGGTACAGTTCATCCTGGTCAATGCTATCATACTTAAAATCAACAAAGAGATGATGCGTCTTGAATTCGTATTTTCTACATTTTTCCAAAATTCCTCGCATGAATCGACATTGGTACTGTCAAATTTCTCGCCCGCCATATGGGAGGAGGCGCTGGAAGAGTATATTTTATAGTATTTTATAGGTACTTAGAGGAGGTATATTCCCCTATAGTTTGCTACACTTAAGCATATCCTCCTTCTTATGTATAGGGCTTATTAAGGTCTTAATCCATTTCTCAAGCATGCTCTCTTCGGCCCAAACAGTGAGGATGATATTGTGATTTTATATTAGCACTGATTATACTGTTATATTTGTGCCTGGTAATTTCATTCCAACCAACCTCTCCCCTCTCCACCCCCTACAAAAAAAAATTAAATATATAATATATATGTGTATATATATATATATATATATATATATATATATATATATATATATATATATATATATATACTGATTTACTCCATCTGTATTAATATCTGTAGTTATAATATTTTAAAAATAAAGTCTAAATAAAAATTGAATTTCAACTTTTAATAGGTGTATGTTGTTTTATCTTGAATTGGAAATATTTGTTATGAAGTTATTCAAAAGAATTAGAGTTATATTGCTGGAAAAGTGTGAAACCAGTAAGTCCAAAGTGATTTATTTATTTGTTTTGTTTTTTTTCATCAATGTATGTACAACAATTGACTGTTTTCTACTTGATAGAATATTACTAGTAGTAGAGTATTACTACTATATACTATACTTATTAGAGTATATAGAATATTACTAGTAGACACTATAAAAAAATAAAATAATAATAGGTTGGATTTACATAGTTTCACACTTTTGCCAATGAGATTCCACTGGTAAGGTGAAAAAAATATATTCTTTTTGATTTTTTGAGAATTAAATGTGCCTATGAGCAATTGAGCAAAATTAGAGTATTTTGTGTGATTTTTTAAGTATTACCTTTTAGCACCAAGTCTTTTTCTTTTATAAAGTCTAAAAGAGGGAAGCAATGTGGTTCACATCAGTTGCGGTTTGTAACCCATTGGAAATAATGAAAGGTTTGAGGTACCTGTTTAATAATAATATCCAACTTCTACGATCGGGGCGGCTGAGTTGGGTAACACAATGCACAGCACCGTGCGTTGCCAGTCAACTTGATAGCCGAAGTTTTGAGATAAATAATTATGAGTTCGAATCCCCGGTGCCTGGTGGAACTTTAACTCAGCATAATTCCCCTACCCTGGGAAAAAAAAACTGTGTAGTCTAACAAGGCAAGGAAGGGGAGGAAAATAGGACAAAAAAAAAAATACAATAAGAAGCTCCAAATAATTCTATACCTAAAATTAGATACCTTCTACTATTAAGAGATTTTATCCTAAAAATGTTGGCCTTGTTTAGAATCAAGAAGAGGAAACACCTGATTTTTAAAACCATCTGATTCTATTCAGCTATACTTTTGTGGACATTTTTTATTTTAATTAAAAAAAAAAATTATGGAATTATTTGTTGTCATTAATAACTTTAATGAAATGGTTTTATGTCTCTACATACTTTAAAGATTGATATATGTATACTAATGATATCCATTTTTAACTTAAAATAAAAATTGATGGATTTTTAAATAATTTTGTTATATTGTGTTACAGATGGTGTCAAAACACAGCCATACTGTCAGATCACCATCAAATCTACTAAAGAGGTAAGGCGGGTGGTTTTTTTTTTTTTTAAGTAGTATGTTTATATTTTCAATTATTTGATTTATTTTTATAACATTTTTGATATAACTAAAATTTTTTCTTACTTCAGGTTGCAGGTTTTAATGCTCTCAGTGACGTTTTGAAGCGGTTGGATTGGCGTAGTGCTGTGAGAGACAGGAGAAGATTCAGGTATATCACAAAGCTGCTGAGCCTGCTATGTTCAGAGAAACCTCTTTGCCATTTGCCTGGAGGTGTCCAAAAAGTTGTTTTTACTATGTTGGAGGAAGTTGCCAGGCAATGTAAGGTTTTTCATTTTTTTTTTTTTTAGTATCAACTATTTTGTTAGAAACTTTAGCACTTGTTTAATCTTTTAACAATATTATAATAAGATAAATTGGTTGAGGGTTGTTGTCATTGAAGTACGCAAAATAATTTTTTTATTTTCATTGTGCAAACATTTTGGTCTAAGTTTTAATCCTTTATCTAGACTAGACAAAGACAAGATAACAACATTATTATAATAAGAAACAGAACAAAATCTTATAAGTTTCCTTTTATATGGGGATTACAATTTATAGTTAGTATTAATATATTTCAGTATGCATAAGAGGAGAAAACCCTAATACATTGAGGTCTCTGGATGCTCAAGCTAGATCACTAGTTGACTGCGCTTGTTGGGGTCAGCCCTTGGGTTCATCACAGCTTTGGAGTGATAATTTAGAAGTTATAAGACGAGTTTCAACCCTTGCCAATTCCTTCATTATTTCACAGGTACTTATTTTATTTGTTTTTAAAATTTAATACAAATTTTTTTTTTTTATTATTCTGAGACAAAGTCCCTTAGGAATAAAATTCACATAGCACTGCATAGTGGCCAGGACAATGTGGCCTGACTCATTGATATAAAAAAAAAAAAAAAAAAAAAAATGGGAGAAATAGCATAATTGAAAATAAATTTTTTATATTAACTAAAATAACAGAACTGCTTTAAAAGTAAATAATATAAAGAAAAATATAAAAATAAGCTAAATGAAAATGACAATAGTAATATGCGGAATCATAGCACTGAAATGAACTCTGAGAAACATTTAATGATCGGAAAAAGTAAGTTTAATACAGAATAATATAACAAGGAAAAAGTGGTTGAAGAGGAGAGCTTTAAACGAATAAAGTGTTGAAGCATGGCGGATGGTAGGTGGGATAGAGTTCCAGGAGGCTGCCTGGGTTAGGAAAGATTTGTCAAATGCCACAGTTCAGTGAGGAGGAGGAGGGTAGAAGTTTAGGAGTATGAGATCGGGTGAAATGGCATTTGGTGGATTAAAATATATAAAAAATCCATTACCAATTTTTCAGAACATAACTTATTCTTTACTTTTTAAAAGTTTTTGGTATTCTGTATTAAAAAAATTGAAAATTTTTAAAAAGAATATAGCCAGTTTTTTTTTCTCTTACACATTAATCATTTTCATAACAAGATTTATTAGTTGTTTAAAAAAAAAAGTTTCTAAGCTTAAGCAATATGGTGTTAAAATAAATGAATAATTAAAAAAAATTGTTCAAAAATATAAGCTCCAACTTTTTCTCTTGTCCCTGCTAGAAGTTTTGCTTTGAGTAGAACCTATTTATGCTCTTCAGACCCTTTATGTCTGTAGAGTATTGTTTGTTAGCTGGATACAAATTATCTATGATCTTATTCACATTTCTTCTTTAAGCAATATATGTCATTTATAATTGTGGGTAAATGGTTGACTGTCATGAATAATGAAGAGAAGAATAGTTGGGGTGATCAGTCAAATAAGAAGGCAAAAATAAATGATATTATTTATTTTGACATTTGCCAACGTTTCGACCTGAAGTTCGAATAGGTATTCCTTTTCTTTGTTTTAACTCTTTATTATATTATACATTGTCTGTACATCTTGATAGACTTTACAATATCTCAATTTTCTATCTAACTATTCTATTCTTAATATCTTAATTTTACTATTTATTTTCATTTCTTATATAACTCCATATTCCTTTTTTTCTGTTTTACATTTTATTCTAAGATTCCCATTTTAATATTTATGTCACCTTTTTTTGATTATGTTTATTTCATCATTCCACACTTTGTAACGGTTATTATTATTTATCTCTTAGTTCTTACTATTGTCATTATTCTAACAACTGCATTTTACTTTAATTTTTTTTTTACCTACACTACTTATGTTTCTCATACCTTTTTATCTGGTTCTTTTCTTAGCCCTGAACTTCAGGTCGAAACGTCGGCAAATGTCAAAATAAATATTATCATTTATTTTTGCCTTCTTATTTGACTGATCACCCCAACTATTCTTCTCTTCATTATGTCATTTTATGATTTTTTTTATACGAAGATGAAGTTTTATAAGATGCCGACCTTTCAATAATAATTTTAAATTATAATTGGTAAATGGTTGACTGTCGTGGATAATGAAGAGAAGAATAGTTGGGGTGGTCAGTCAAAAAAGAAGGCAAAAATAAATGATAATATTTATTTTTACATATGCCTTGCATTGCATATAATTTTAAATTATATTACTAACTATTTTTATTTCTATTCTCTGATAGTTGGTACTCACCTATAATAAGTGTTATGTTTTCTTTTAAGGGTGATTGTGGATTGACACTGACTGAAGAACTTCCAGCCGAAGTTGTAACTGAGGTTGTGAAGAGATTGGACGATCCTGGTGACCTTGAATCGGCCGTAGAAGTCCTTAGGCCTTATATCCTCTCTGAAGAAGCTCTTTGGCTCGCGTTGATAAGATATCACTTTAATCAGGAACAGGTGATGTCAGCACCGTGCACATCTGACTCCAGGGAACTCTTTAATTTTCTTAAGAAGTAAATCATTTTTTATATTATTATATAAAATATGTATACATATACTCAAGCTTAATAGCACATCAAGTAACAGTTTTATGAAATATGTTCTGTTACATGTTCTGCAAAGAAATTTTAACATTAAATTATTTATTTCAACACTTACTAGACAAACGCTCTAAACTTTCAATTAATTACAAAAGACTTATCTACATAACTATTATAAGACCTATATGGACATACGGAGTTGAGCTTAGGGGCTAATCCAAAATCCTCCGTAAAATCCTTAATGCTCTATACTTTGCCACAAATAAAACCATTCATAAAGACCTTAATGTATCATATGTCGCTGATTTAGCTTCAGCCAGATATTTATTCTTTCATGATAAACTCCAGTCCCATCCAAATCCCCTTGTTTCCACCCTTGCTTCTTCTTCGATCCCTGATAATTCTCCTAGGTGACTGAAAAGGAGATGGCCTCGTGATCTTCTTACTTAGAATTATTTAGGGAGTGCTACCACTGAGTAGTATCTCTTCAAGCCTGTACATGTCATTATTTATAATTTGTGCATATTTACTAGTTGTATTTGTATACAGTTGTAAATTTCATTAAATAAACAAACAAAACAAATTATTTATATAATATACAGGATTATATGTAATGAATGTATTATATTGTGACAAATAATTATTTATTCTGTTAATTACGATTCTGAGGTCCGAAGACCCTCCTGTGGGTATTCTTACACTGTTAATTGTATATTCTCAATTAAATAATTAATTAAGTGGAAAAATCAACCGTTGACCAAGAAACTGTACTTCCTTACAAATTACTTAACTCAAGACCGACCATCCGTAAGTTGTAGTGGTACAGCTTTTTAAAATTTTTTCATTATTATCCAAATATAACGTATAGTAGGTTAAATTGAAACAAATTTCTTCAAGTTTATGCTGTCTGGCAGTTATATCCTACTAGAAATATTCTTCAGGTTTTTTCTTAAAATTTGATTTTCACTATAGTTAATTTTTTAAAGATTAGAAATTGTAATACCAAATGTAATAACATTCACGTTTAAAAGTAAACTCTTGAATATAGTGCTCAAAAGATAAATTAATCTGTAGCTTAGGATCTTGGAAATGGAACCTTGTGAATTTAGTATGTGAAGGGTTTTTGACATTTTATACATGACATACCCCACTTCAATGTTGCAACATTTCTTTGATATTAGGCATTTGTTAGACATTTTAAAAGCTGTAGAAATATTAGCAGAGAAAGAGCGCAATTTTTTTTAATTTTTCCGTTTTTTATTATATCTTATAATTTATATAATTTTAAGTTATTTTCTTTTCTTACCTTATTTTATTTAAAAATTTTAAAATCGATTCAACTACCATTGCTAAAAGTGATTTTTGGTATTCAAAATATATTATATTATTTTATATAATTGTTTACTTTATATTAGTAGGCATTAGACATTGTTTACCACAATATATATTTTGAGATTGTGCCGCATCTTCAGGATTTTCATTCATCTATTCATTAGACTATCTTTTATTATTTAAAATATCTATTAATTCATCTGTTTACATTCATCCATACAATCAATTAATCCATCTGTTTACATTCATACATAGAATTATTTTGTTATTATTACTAATTTTATTTTTATAATATTTATATTTGATAGTTTTATTCATCAAATAAAGAACAAAAATTGACAAGAGTCCAGCTTCCATGTATCGGAATAAGATAATTAGAATAGATTTTTTATTTTATTTGATAGCTAAAATAAAATTATCATATCATTTAGGTTTTCTAGATAAATATTGAAGGTAATTATATTTTTGTTTAGGAAATATGGACTGAGGGAGGAGTACGCAGACACAGTTCGGCTGTGCCGTGATTGCAGGTCCCTCTTCTGGGCCAGCTCCGGCCATCCCTGCCTTCCAGGGCGATCTCGATCCCTCCACGTTCCTGTTTCTCCGACTGCTTTTCTTGCGTTTTTCTCACTCTAATCGCATTTACTCTGTTACTGATTTTTCAGAAAAAAATCTTTTATATTTGATTTTTTTATATATGATTATTCTTCAATGCTGCCTGTAGGTATGATGAAATCAATTACGCAAGTGGACTTAAAGGCCAGCTTGAGAGGATGACTAACCCAATACGTCGAAGGATACGTGGATTATGGCATATTTTAAGAGCGTTTATTTTGAGGTAGTGCCTAGCTATTTCTACTAATATTGAGTAATAAGTATTGTAAGTAGTCTAGGAAGTATTGTTTCTTCCTCCAAGGAGTATACGTTCTTCCTTGAAAATGTTTTCTATTAGAAAATCACTTTTTGATGACTGCACATGGTTTTTTCTTTTTAATAATTGCTTCTTAAGCTTTAAGTCGATGTAATTTTTATATTATAGATTTGAGGCAAAGAAATAATTGAATGAATTAATCCATAAAATATATTTTTACCAGCTGTGGTACTTAATATGTTTATAAAGATGGTTGCAATATTTTCTTCGACCAATCAATTATTTTTTGGTGAAGGTTTATCGGCGAAGAATGTTAGATATTGCTAAGCTGTTTATGACTGTTTTCTTTACAGTTTGAAGCTGTGATTTTAAAATTATAGATTGTAGGTATTAGATGGCTATTCTGTGAAAACTTATATATTGAGATTAATTTTGTAATAAATATATGAAGCAATCTGTGTTTTTATTTATTCTAATTTTTGGTGGTCATATACTTTTAAACACCAAGGACCTATTTAACTACTAATATTACACAATAAGTTTTGGGGATATTAAAATAATAGGAAATACTTTTTGCTCGAAGATAGAAAAATAACTTTGTAATGTTAAATCTTATGATTATGTTTTGGTTAGCTTGGTAACTATTTAGCTTACCCATGATTACTTAGCAGCCTGCGGCACGAAGTTGAAACAACAGTTTTTCTTTTCCTTATCCTCTGATATTATTTGGAAAAATATTACAAATATATTCATATTTTACAATACAATATCTTGTAATGTGTATTTCGTCGGATTATTTTAAAAAGTCACTAAGTACACTTTTGGTCGATTTTTATCTGAAGGTGCATATTTGTTAATTTCGATCATGTTTATCAATAGAGTAACTCATTATAAATATAATAGAAATTATACGTAAAAAATAGTTTAACTTATGAAAAAACAATTTTATTCTGGGACTACAGTCCCTAAGAATAATAACAGAGTTACAAATTTATGAGTATTAGTCTGGCTTAGAATAATAAAAAATACAAACTAATTAACTGCTGATTATTATTGCAATTGTGCAGTAGATTGAAATTAAACAGTATACAGATGCAAGTAATTTTACATGTTAGCGGAAGTTTGAATGTGGAGTAGGTGGTGGAACAGGAGTTGTTTGAAGGAATTTGTGGATGAGGATTGACGTATGGAGGTAGGAAGAGAGTTCCAGAATGAGGTAGCATGAATGACGAAGGATTTGCTGAAGGAAGAAGTTTTATGGGAGGGGATATATTAATCTATAGGTAGAGACCTGGTATTAAGAGAGTGGATAGAGGAGCATAGAGTAAGGAGTTCCAGGATGTAGAGAGGGTTTTTGGTTCTGAGGACTTGGAAAAAGAAAATACCAAGGAGAATTTTCGTCAGGAAGTAGAATAAAACCACTTCAACTCGGTGTACCAGAATGAAACATGTGAACGCCAGGGGGTTCCGAAGATGTATCTTATGAAACAGTTCATGAGTTTCTTCTGTCTCATTTTTAGCCTGGCAGATAGCCCTCCCTACATTGAATAGTGGTAGTTGAAGTGGGGGAATATTAGGGAGGTTGCAAGGAGCTGTCTGGTTTTTAGAGGAATACAATGAGGAAATCTTAAGAGTTGTTTTAGGACAATTATGGATTTTCGGGTAATCTGGGAGATATAGTCAAAGGTTACTCATAGGTTTTTGACTGTAGGGAAAAAATGGATGGTTATTGAGGTAAAGTAGAGGAAAATAAGGAAGGTAGCTAATGAGATGTCTGGACAGGATGAGAATAGCCTTAGTTTTATCTGCATTCAGCTTTAATTAATTTATCTCTGCCCATCTGTTGATGCAGTCTATATCCTCTTGTAGCTTTTGGGCACTCTCAGAAGATTAGAACGATTGGTAAATTTGGAAATCATTGGCATGTAGGTATATCATTGGTAACAGGAGTGTGGGATGGCGTGAGGAAGGTCACTAATGTAAACAGAGAAAAGAGTTAGGGAAAGTGAAGATTACTTACACCCATTATAAAATCCCAAAATCTTCCTTCCCATCAGTTTGGTTTTCTCTCAACATTCTAATGTTCAACAAGGACTCCGAGTTGTTGATCATATTTCATCAGCCATAGAAAATACTGTTCCGGTGCATTTCTGGAAAAAGGAGTGGTAAAAATTTCCCGAAATTTCATTTGTTTTTCTTTTTTTTTATCTCGGAAATGAAGGATCAAATTTTCACTGTTCCAACAGTTTTCCGGCTACGTGGAGGTAGACGAAAACAGAGAAATGGTGTAAAAAATATTGTCTTTCGCTTTTCTTATTTTATCTCGGGAATGCCTTCGTCATTCGTGCTGCTTCCTTATGGAACTCAGTTCCTACCTCCATGCGTCAATCCTCTTCCACAAATTCCTTCAAACAACTCCTGTTCCACCAGCTACTTCACATTCAAACTTCCGCTAACATATTAAATTACTTGCATCTGGACAATGTTTAATTTCAATCTATTGCACAATTGAAATAACAATTAACAGTAAATTAGTTTGTATTTTGTTTATGTCAGACTAAGACCCATAAATTTTTAACTCTGTTATTATTCTTACGGGACAGTAGTCCCAGAATAAAATTAATTTTTCATTTCATTTCAAGGATCGGTTTTTTACAGTTCCAACAATTTTCCGGCTATGTAAAGATAGGCGAAAATGGTGTAAAAAAATTCCAAATTTTCATACACTTTCGCTTTTTATCTCGTGAATGGAGTCTCGGTTTTTCACCATTCCAACCATTTTATAACTGTTAGGATAAGGCCAATGGAATCAGGAGTGGTACAAATTTTCCAAATTTACATACACATTTCCTCTTTTATTTCTTGAATAGATGTTCGGTTTTTCACTGTTCCAACAATTTTATAATTGTGTGGAGGCAGGCGAATGGATAGGAGTGGTACAAATTCGCTTTTCCCCTTTTATCTCGGGAATGAAGGATCAGTTTTTCACCGCTCCAATAGCTTTCCGACTATGTAGACCAGGCAAAAACTGCGAAAAATTCTCAATTATCGCCTACGTCTATATAGTTGAAAAACTGTTGGAACAGTGAAAAACCGAGCATTCATACACGAGATAGAATAAAAACAGCGAAAGATAATTCTGAAAATTGTCTTCACCATTTCTCCGTTTTCACCAGCTCTATTGCTCCAAATGTAAATTCGGAAAACTTTACATAAAGCACAGATAAGTGGAATCGGCGGTGAGTGACAACCACGTAAGGAGCAATCTTGAGAAAATATTTCCCCACCGTCCGAAGTCGCTAGGACGCGAAGCTGGTTCTCCTGGATTTCTTGGTCTTGTCTTTCAATTCCTTACAGGACATGGGAGTTTTCGCGGTAAGTTGTATAGCCTTGGAAAAGAGATAAGTTCCCTACGCCCCAATTGAGAAGGCAGAGCACGTCATATACAAAAATTTTGTGTACGGGTGGGAAGTCGGTACACTTCATTGTGGAAAGAAGAGTAACGCCTGGAAGGTCGCCAAGTATCTTACGGTGAAATGGAAATGAAGAAAACTGAAAAGTTTAATAAATAGTGTTAAAATATTTAACAAATATTTGTTTAATGGTAGAGATGGCATACACGTTTGCGATATGTCATCCCTGCAAAATCGCCTGTAGCCGAAAGGCAAGGTAGGAGAGGATAAATAATCATTTTTTGCTCTCATTGTATAAAAGGACAAACTTTAAAGTTTTTCCTCATTCCAACGAAGTGCCATTTCATACTCAACAGAATGTTTAAAGTTAAACTAGTAGACGACAGTTGTTTAACAAAGTACTCCAAATTACCCTACAAAGTGGGAGAAAAATGACAAAAACCCTATTATGACCATATATGGCATTATTCATTTCTTTGAAAATTGTATATGTTCATAATAATAATACCAATATCCACCATTTTTTAAGCTTATATTAGGAATATTGGCGTTTGTGCAGGATATATTGTTTTATAATTTTGGTAATATTGTCTTCAGATAATTTATATTCAAGCGTAAGTTTGTATCAACCTTTAAAAAAAAGGCATTTAAATAAATATTTTGGATAATTTGTTTTGCTGGTTAGTCGTACCTTGCCGAGAGTAGGGGCTTGCCAGCGTGCCAGTCAAACAAAAAAAAAATTGCTCTACTTGCATGTTCCAGTCGACTGGCGGGCCAGTCCCTCGCTAGCCTCTCTCTCTCGTGAACTATTCACTACTTACTTCGCTATTTCTAAAAGAGGGAAGTTTGGTATAGTTTTGGCTGTTCAAGAGGTACAACCTATTCTAACTGCAGTGGGTGAAGCTGAGTTTTTCAACTCGATATTCCCTTAAAATAACGAGCGATTAATACTCTATATAATTTGTTGTACAGAATTTAATAGTAAAGTATGTTTAGTGGTAAGAGAAATGTGAAATATTGTTTCTTATTTTTTATTAATTATTTCAATTTTTTTTCTAGTTCCTATCCCAATCTAAATCAATTTTATATCAATTAAATATAAATAAAAACGAAAATATTGATTAACTTGAAACGAAATCCTCGCAACCTCAATATTTTTAAACATATGTATAAATAAAAATATTCTACCTATCTATTTTATATAAAGTCATCTTATCTTAAGTATAGTTAGTCAATTTCTATTATATGTGACATACATAAGAAAAACTATAATTAAAGGGATAGCAAAAAAAATCTTAATGTAGTATGATTTCTTTAAATTCAAGGATTTTAATCTTATTCATTATGGTTTA